GAAACTTTTCAGATGTCCTTCTTTATGCAGATGAAATAGTATCACACTCCAGAATATAAGGGCTAACTTCAATTACAAATAATGATTCAATTTTGCAAGGCCTTAATCATCCCCAAATGAAAGTTCTGTTAGAAGAGAAAATGTTCGGACAACAACCTGAATCCAATTATGAAATCCAGAGACTTCTTGCTCTCCACGTTTGATTTCTCCAACAAAAACATGTTCAAAAGCAGAAGAACAGCTAGATGTACCACCTCGGCCACAAAGATCAAACCAGAGACTTAACATCTTGCTCTTAAATTCTTGATAATTCCCAGATACAATTCCCTTGGCTAAAAGATACTTGTAAAGATATTTGATTGGTGAAGTTCGGCTGATCTCTTCAATAAATGCTTCTTCTTCTTGTCTTTCTTCTGATGTTACAACTTCTTTATACCCTTGATGTGGATTATAGTTATCAAGAAGACAACAGAAGCGAGAATAAGTAGGCCTCCTGAATATTTCTTCATTCAGCCAGGAAAATAGGCTTCCTTCTGCCATGTCTTCCTTCTGGTAAACCTTCTTTCCCTCACCACAATCAATCTCATAATCCTTTCCAGGTACTAAACGGTTTCCATCAAGCTCCCACAGTCTGTTAAGAGCCTCCGAGAGATCAGAAAGCTCTCGTTGTGAGGGTTCTGTGTCAGCGCCGTACTCAGCATCACTTGAGTATTCTTGCTCGTTAGGAGGCCGCTTGTAATTGCTCCACTGGTCCCTATGTATCTGGATTGCAAAAATTGGTAATAATAAAATACCAAACATAAGGAGATCCCAGGAATTTATGAAACAACAAACTAAATGCTTATGTAGCAAGCCAAACAGTATGAAATACTGGTATTGAAGAATTTGTTTGGACTAAAGAAGGATATTAACTTAAGAAGCATCCAGTATTACAAGTTTCTTGTATTTCATGGTGTCAAAAAATAGAGCGAAACTAGCTGCTGTGCCTTAGTAAGATTTCAACATCTGAATGGAAATAAGTTCAAGACCAGCCTGAAATCCCATTTCAAATTGGAGAGGAAAGTGGCAAAAATTAAAGGGTGACAATATAAGTCAGATAGGAAAATGGGCAATATTGTCCGTCGTATATTGTAGCTATGTTGTTTCTACATTACTGCCCATTGTCTAATAGCTATGTTGATTCTTCATGTGGTTCTACCCGATTCCCAAAGAAAAACTTTTCCTTTTGATACAACTGTTCAAATCTCAACTTATGATTGCTAACAAAACAATAAAACAACCAATGGTATAATGGTATCACCCATATATGACACTGTGAGTTCGGATATATGATGCATGAAAAACAAGAAGTTAAACTAGACCTTGTGTTGCTGTCTTGGATGCTTCCTCCCGACAGTTTCCCAACCATCATTATTTTTGGCTTCCTCCTGTAAGAAAATGTAAACAGTAAATGGTACTAACTTTGAAAGAAGCTTCAGTACTCGGAAGGAACCATCCTTCATATTCATTACTTTTAATAATAAACTCGTGCATTAAAGACATCACCACGAAATCATGCACAGGGCGACGTGGTTTTACTATTTAGATCTGATATAGTAAAGGCACACAATCATTGTCATCACCTAGTATGTTCCATCTGGAAGCATCAAATATCCAACCTTAGTGTTTTAGTTCCCCAAAACAGATTATATCCCAAGAATTATCGTGGTCTTCAACTTTTTCTTTTTTTCCTATTCCCTCCCCATAACCAAACAATTCTGCAGATATTCTCTATCACCCAGGTCAGTTGGAACCGAAAAGCAAAAAGGTCACAACAAACAATAGTACTAAAGATATAGAAAAAGTGAACTCAAAGCTTCCTACTGCGCGGGACGATTTTCTTGAATTCCACTCATCATTTCTTCGGTAGCTTTGTTCCTGTGTCATGGGATGCTTGCCATCCTGTCACAGATAGATAAAGTATGAAAGCAGCATACTTGTATGCAATAAATGTAGCTTTTAGTTTATCCAATAGAAAAACTAAAGGCGTGGTAAATTTTAATAGTTGTGTGCAGTTCTAGAATCTTACTTTCCACTTCATTTTCATTATTTATCTCTCACAATGGCAACCGTATTAATTTCAATAACCAAGACATAAACACCAAGCCCAATTACATAGCTTCATACTTCATGCTTTTACAATATGGCCATTGGACAAGACATATACCCATACAATCAATCTAAACATGAAAAACAGACCAAACAAACTGCATCTTATTTGCTTCCATCTTCCAATCTCTCGAGAAATGGAATCATCTCCACATATAAAACTACATGGACAACCATTTTCAATTTTACCAAAATATAACGTAGAACACAATCTCAAACATTTGATTTTCGTTTTCAACCTTACACGCTACCTTAGTCCTTAGTTTGCAATCTCTATGTTGTCTACCTTTAGCTTCATTACCCAACTTTGAATTTTCACTCAATCATCCGGGCACAATTAAAGTTTTCCAACACGAACTAGATGAGTTTTCATTTTTTCAACATCCATCATTAGAAATTAGAAACAACAACTAGATCTAACGGGGTTAATAAAAGCACAAAGAGTTACATTTCTCTTGTTCCAAGCTCCAGCGTTGTAATCTGCGTCGGAACTCGAACCGTCACGGTCATCTCCCTCACCAGACACCACCTGAACATTTTAGCAGACATTTTTTCGCTCGGATTAAGTACAATAAAAATCACTTGATACCGAGATCATAGGAGAGGATCTTTGCTAACCTGCGCCCAGCTCGATCTGGATCGTTCGTCCCTCTGATCGCGATCGTCCTGCGCACGGCTTTCGTCTCCATCACGACCTCCGATGGGATCCAATGCTACGTTAACCAGTTCCTTAATTAACCCATCCATTGGAATTTTGGTGCTCAAATTTGCGCTGCTGAAAGAGAACTGTTTTGAGGTGAAAATATAATGATCAATGGCGGGGAATGTTGGCCACTTGATTTTATTTTATTTTATTTTATTTTTTTTGGTACAGGGACCTTCCGGTTTCCAGATCCACAGTGGAACCGACTAATCCGGAATCAAGCCGGGTAGGACCACAAGGGCGGCAAAGCTCTCCCTCAAGAGTTTTAACACTGCTGCATTCCCAGGGCTCGAACACGAGACCACTGGTTAAGCTGGAAGAGACCCAAGCCATCTCATCCAAGCGCTATTGAGTATTTTTTATTTTATTTTTAATATCGTCTGGTGATGCACTTGCCGACACACATTTTTTGTTTTTGAATGAATGCATCATGACAAAATAATTTCAGGTTATATATAGTTCTGATAATTTGCTGGGTTGACATAATTATTTGAGATTCTATAGATTTTTTTTTTTTTTTCGATGAGATTCTATAGATGAATGATGTAAAAAGTTTATCATATTATTTATCTGGGTTATTTTATTAATTGAGATAATTTTATTAATTGAGATAATTACAATTAATTTTGTAATGAAAATCCTATCAAATTATTTATCTGGGTTATTTTATTAATTCAGATAATATAATTATTTTTGTTATGATCATGATTTTAATTACAAAGGACAAGATAAATGAAAGTTTTTAGAATAATACTATTCCGAATATAATTGGGGATCATGCAAATAATTTATGAGGAATATTTTTTTATCTGGAACGGTAGAATATATTAAAACAAAAACAACAAACGGTCAACAAGTCTAAAGAAACAACCAAAAGCTGAAAACAAAGAGGCCTACAAGTCGAGCCATCTGTAGCGTAGAAGAGTAAACAAGACTAAACAACTAGCAAAACTAAGATACAAGGCTCCCACAAGTGGAGAAAACTCACAAGCGGGAGAAAAGAAACACGAACACACAACCTAAACACACACATCACCTAGATAATAGATTAAAGCCCTCCTCTCCGGCGGGGAACACCCAACACCTCCATAACCTGAGCCAAACACCTAACGAGATCCACCTAGGAGAAATCGCACGGTCTACGGCCCGACACAATCTCCCCAGTAAACCACATAGTTGACCCAGTCAGATCGCACCACCCTCCACGCGCATTCTAGAACCACGACACCACCACATCATCCTCGCCGAAGGAAACGACCTTCCCAACACCAGAAAAGGCCGAATAAGGGAAAACCAAAGTGTAGTCCACCGCCCCGACCGCCGCAAGGCCGCCAGCGGCGACCGCAGCCCGAAACCACCGGACCTTCCGACCTCGAACTCCCACCATGGCAAACCGACAGGGTCAAAATTCATGTCGCAGAGATAGAGACCAAAAACAGCTGGAATAACGTCAATGGCCATGGACAAATCAGATGTTGGCTGGCATTGCAGTTGTTTATCGAATATGATTAAGAAAATACGCACGGAGTTTCTATTGAAATTATGAGTTTATTCAACAAAAATCACACACCATTGCACAAAATATAATGAATAATATAGTTTTCATAATTTTAAAGGATTATGATCAATTAAATAGCTAAAATTAGCGTCATTATAATCATATTTTACGTAGTTATAAGAGGTTTGCTTCGCCATTAAAATCAATTAATTATCTTTATAACAAAACAATTCTCTCAATGAAATGAAAAAAAAAATATTGATTTTTTAAAGTAAACAATTTGAAGAAAAAATTAGTAACAAATTTTTCCGATAAACAAGTAACTTGCATGTACATTTAGGAGAAAGACCGCAGTCCCATGGAAGAATGATTCCCTCAGTTTAATAGAAGCCATTAGATATTGTAGTTTTGATATGGACTCTTAGATGTAGCCAAACAAAAGTGGTGTGACAATTTCTTATTGGAGTTTTATATAAATGAATGATTCCGTTAAGGGACTGTAGCATTTTCTACACCTTTAGCATGAATTTTATTGAACAATAGTTATATTAACATTATTTATTATATGATTTAAGCGATCAATTATATCTTATTTTTTCGCATAATTATATTATATATTTTAAAATTTAATAAAGTTTATAGGTTGACGCTTTTATATATAACATATCAATTAATTACTATTTTCATATTATAATATATATATATATATATAAAATTATATCAAAAGAAGAATAAGATATTTAAACATTTAAGATAAAAGTGTGTATATATATACAAATCCTTTCTATATTTCCGAATACGCTGAACCTACGTGGCTGCTTCTAGTGCTTCGGAATCCTACTTGGCAAAGAATCATGCTTCGTAATTAGGTTTGGACAAATAATATTGATATATTAATAATTAATAATTTAGGTTCGGACATTCGATAAATATTATTTAGCTAACTTAGGTATTTTAATATTACTTGTACTAATATAACCTTTTAATTCCTTATCATTTTACATAGTGAGACACTAAGTGACTAAAATATCCCTGATTTTTTATTTGTTTCCTTCAATTAGCTATTGAATTATAAATGTATTTTAAAAGTTGATAACTTTTATATTTCTTATCGGTTTTACATATATAATATATCAAATTAATCATCTTTTCATGATCTTCGATTTGGCATCCATATTGTATATATCAAATAAATAATTATATTGATCTTTATAATAATAAAAAATAATAATATTTATTAAAGTTTATTAGAAAAATAAAATTATTACTCAGTTGATATATTTATGTTTAATGTAGTTATATGTTGTAAGTTAAAAAAATTATTATAATATAACACAAGTAAGTCACACAAAACAAGTGTCATACTAAAAATATTATAATATGTATATGTTTTTATAAAAGTATTTAAATTTTCATCTATTTTTTCTCATTAATTTTAGATTTTAAGGAAAAATTAGCAAGCACCCGTGTAATACACGGGCGTTGTACTAGTATTTTAATAATTCAAATATATTTTTCCAATATATAGAAGATGATCAAATGAAAATATAAGATAGTGAATGAAAAAAAAAATGTTGATATCAACTCTCCAGATCTTGTCAAATGCTCTAACTTTGATCAAACGTTCAAAAAGCGTGGGTATGCATAATATGTTAGGAAAGGCTCGTAAATAAAGTCAGTAAAAGAAATTGAAAGGAAAAGTGTGGAAAAAATAAAAAAACACCGATTTTACTGATCTGTAGATGATGAGATCGACAAGGACATTGAAATTCTTTGGAAAATCTAGTGAGAGTATGTGTGTAATGTTTACATATGGAAGTGGTGCTTGTTCTTTTTTATTTTATTTTATTTTATTTTATTTTATTTTTTGTTTGTTGTTGTGAGGGCATGAATGATGGTATGTATACACAAAAAGAGGTAAAAAGGGTAATAAATGTTATTAGCCAACTAATGCGTAGGTTGCACTGCGTGTCTGCATGAAAATCTCTCTTAATGATGAGACGTATTGGACGGTCGCTTTAACCGTAAACTTCAATAGTTCAACGTCCACAAGGGAAATATCGTCATTTTTCTAAGGGAAGATACAAGGTTGGATCGTCATTTTTTATAGATCGACTGCTAAGTTGGTTGATCAACATAACTTACCTGCGATGCATCTTGGACTGCTTCTTTCTTGGTTTATAGGCCCCAAATAGGATAATTTTGGGGTCCACTTTGAACATGTTTGATTTATTTGTTTTTGTTTGATGCTTGTTCGTGATTTTTGAACTTGTATTTGCTTCTGCATTCCTGAATTGTTTTTCAGATTGACGCCCTATTATAGTAATAAATTTTACTTAATCACATGCATGATAGTTTAAAAGCGATAAAGAAATAAAGATTGTAGTTAGTAACATCCCGCACGAAATAGAGTTTTTCGAAAGAGTTAATAAGAGTATTCGAAAATTAAACCAGCTGTTTTCAAATTATAAGCACAAAAAATTTACTCTAGTTTTAGTAATAGTAGGCGGGGTGTGACAATATCTAATTTTAAAAAAGAACCCCCAACTCAAAACCCTTCCATCGATATCACCCATTAGAGCTCCGACCAACTTGCGACCTCCAATAGTTTGTGTTTATCTCACCGGCGCCCTCACATGTTCGTTCAAGAGTTTTTTTTGTTTAATCCGCCATTAATGACGGTCAAAGCTCGAAACTCATCCGGCAGCTAGAGAGTGCTGCCTCTATTTGCAGCAGCGAGGGAAGTGGTGGAGATGGTGGAGGCTGAGCATGCGTCAACGATCGAGATGTCACCAAGCCTTCTTATTTTTCTTTTTTTTTTTTCCCCTTCAATTTTTTCAATCTTGAAAACTCACTTAGAAGTTGGAACAAGTTATATTCACAACTTACTATAAGGCGAAGACAACAAATGCATTATACTCGTAGCTTTTTTAGCACTTGCAACCAGCATCTATGTTCCAGGACTATCCTTCCATTTACAAAAACGAATTTATAATCCGATACTCATTTAGTACGACCGCTGTGGGTCGACAATTACCCTTTTAGGCTTCCAGTCAGATTCTTCACGAGGTTGTCTTAAGGCAACAAACTGAAGAGCATCACTACGCGTTTGATAAATATGGCATGCCCACGGATACGAATCTGGGGCCCACCAAATCTTTTGTTCTTCAAATGTTGTCTCCTCACACAAAGATTCAGCTACACAGTACACAGAGTCAATCTCCGGCTCTTCAAAGCTCGGCACAGCTACACATCCGAGAGAAAAGTACCCCTCGGGCGCACGAGGATGCCAAATCGAGACGGGACTCTTGTAGTCATCCACACAATTTCTCCAGACCTGCACACACAGTAAAGAATATAAATATCGACATAACGCTATTGAACTCTGCAACCGGAATTAGTAAGAATGTTTATGGCGCTATTGAAACAAACGGATTTTGTTTTTGTTTCTTCAGAGGATTTTATTCACAATTAACCACAAAAAAAAAAAAAAGAACAACAATTAATTCATGCTCATTTTGTTTTCCCCTCGATCTCATCAACATAATTTTTTAAAAAGAACAACAATTAATTCATGCTCATTCGTATTTCCCAACAAAACTCAATATCACCCACTCAAATATTTCTAACTATCTACAAGTTTCAATCATTATTTTGTTATTTTATATCACATCATTTCACAATCTTAATATTTCATTTCTCCTTTTTTTTTTCCCCACATCACTATAGTGACAATGAGACAATTTTCCAAAAATTCCATATCCAATTGCAGTAGATCTTCAAGGATTTTCTTACCAGGTCATAACCCACTGGGGGCACAAACAGTTCCTCAGAGTTACGATATATTGAGGCAACTGTAGGAGGATGACAGCCACAACGAGCTACATCCCCAATTGAGACATACCTGGAAAGTATTAGTTAAAGTATTAGTGAAGGGTGTTGATGTTGGTAATATATCCTAAAGGTAGTGGGCTTTCAGGATTCATTCAATTCTCACCCATCAGGACAAACTGGCCGCCAGATGCTACAAATTTCGCCACTTTCCAAACCCTATAGTATCAACAAAAGGATTTTTGAGACGAAATATTTAATAATGGGGCATCTAAAGACAAGTAGGACTATTCCCATCAAATATAGTTGATATCCTCACCTGTTTTCGGCACAAAGAGCACCGACCTTTGGACTCTCGCTCACTGCTCCAAATCCTAGAAAAGTTGATACTGTGCTGGACAAATTTTTGTGTGGTCGAAATAGAACTCGTACAAGAAATCTCAGCTGAGGTGATAATGGCTCTGTGCTGTTTGTGACATTCTCTGGCATCTACATCACTCCATGTAAATAGGACATGCCTTTGGCTTGAGGGCAACTGTGATGGAGAAAAAATATGACATGATATATGCATTTACAGAAGATAAGATCAGTTTCAAAAACCACCCTGAGGTTTAGCAATATCACTACAACCAGTTAAATACGCCTAAACGTTTTGTAAGTAGGCTAACCATCTAGGATAGCTTTTTCCAATTATCCATATACTGATTTACATCATATGATGGAAAGTTAAGGACCTGTTTCAGATTATTCTGGTGTGCCTTCCACATCCTATATACGACTGAGCAGACTTTGACGGCTTGTGATTGTCTTTCCTCGGGCATGCTGCTGCACTTTATTACTCTGACAAAGCTCTCACCTCTCTTGAAGCATTTTAGATGAATGATTAAGTGAGAAGGGATAGGATGGCCTGCTTTAGCAAGTTCCAGTGCCATGATTTCTTCCCATGGTACATCCCACAATATTTTGCAGGGCTTTTTATCCATCTTATCAGGGGCCACACACTTCCACACACAAAAGGATGACAATTGTTAATGTAATCCAAAGACGAGGAAAATTTAGACAAGAGAAGACAAAGTATTATCCAGGAATTACCTGCAGCAGCATCACTCGCCTATTAGTCACCAAAACAATGCGCTGATAGGGTACCGTAAAATGCTCCTCATAGCAATCCGACCAGGCAAATTTTGATGGCTCTTTGAATATTTCTGTGCACCCAAAATTCCGACTGGCTTCTGCAAGGTACAGTATCATCTAAAGCAGAAAATCACATGTCAGATTTTTCCAATGAGACAAGATCAACAAAGAAACAAAGTTGAACTTCTCCAAATTATTAGCAAATTTTCAGTTAAGAAAGGCTACATCTGGATCCTTCAGGATCTAAGAAAATAGCTAAATATTATGATTTTCTTTTTTTTCTTTTTTTTTTTGCTGCAAAGATCCGTAAAAGTTTAAGAACTCGGCACAACATTCAAACATAACAAATCTTAATGGAAGTCCATACCTGACCAAGTGCTTCTCTTTCAGAATAATCTCTTAGTACATGGTCAGCACGAAATGCCCGTGGATTTCGTGTCCTTTCGAAGTCTCTTTTGTTATTAAGAATCTCTAAGCACCTGGAGCAACTTGCACCAATCCCATCAACAGTCAAAGAAAAAAAATCTAATGCTCCACTCACTGGCTGTACCAAAAATCCCAGGAAAGCCTGTCCAAGCCCATGGGCTAGGCCAAGAAGACCATTTTGCCTAGCATTCTCCATTGGTTTCCGCACTACCCCAGATATTCCAAAAGCAACACCTTGTGCAAGAGCTTCAGTTCCTTGTGCAATTCCATCACCAACACCAGTAATCCTTCTTGACCACACCTGCTCCCAGTAGTCAAAATGAGTGAAAATTCATTTTCCAGTTAGAAGGCAAAACTACACATGCTAAGAATCAATATGAGTGAAGATTCAATGTCATCTAGATGGAAAAAAGTGCGGAGGCAATATTACCTGCTTCGAGCGGAGCTGCAGGAATTGTCCATCAGTTGAGAGCTCAGCAAAACCTTTGCTAAGAGAAGCCAAGGTGGAGCTTGCCATGCCGAGCACATCAACGGAAAAAATCAAATGTAATGGATTATGGACAAGATCTCTCCAAATGCGGTTTCCAATGACAGAAATCACAGTACTCTGCCGCAGAAATCTATCTCTATGTGTTACTTTCCGAAGATGAACCTGAAATACAGACAATAGTATCAACATCCCTTGTGCTGATTCGTGAGTCATGATTCATGTTCCTCAATGATGCTTCTGAAGGAAAATAGGAAATATTTGAAAGGCATCGCAACATCACTTATTTAATATCAAGTGCACAAACATATTTCAATACCACTATTATGACGACAACAACAAACCGTTAAAATCCCACTAAGTGGGGTCGGATCCATATAGCATGTCGCCATCGTGCTCGATCAAAACACATATCCTCATTCAAATATTTTAAATCATTTTTTATTATCTCCTTCCAAGTTTTCTTAGGTCTACCCCTCCCCCTTTTAATTTGCGTTCTTAATTCCAATATTTCTACCCTTCTCACCGCGGATTGGAAGATATAAAAAGAGGATAGAGCACAGAGTGGTTTTGGAGAAACAATACTCTTTTCCTATTAAATGCCAAAATCTTTCAGTTTATGGGAACTCCATATAAGGAAATAAATTTACACCTTTTAGCTTTCCCCAAATCATTAAGTGAATTCCTCTATTGATATGGATATTTTCAAATATACATCGAATAAACTTCTTACCCAGAAAACCCCCAATTACCAAATAAAATACCCTTAATAAAGTTGAAAGCTAAACAGCCAAAGTAGAAAAGATAAGGAAAGCTATATCATGATAGGAAGACCAGCAATTCAAGTAAGTAAAACTGTATAATCCAGTCCATTTATGCGTTAGAGCAACCTCAGACCTGAATCTTAAATGTGTTCCCAATAGCTGAAAGAACCGGACCCCATACACCCAGAAGTCCATGAGGTCTTTGAGCAGGGGCTGTCTCCAGAGAAACCTTCAGTCTTACCTCAGAAATGTCGATCAAGCTGAATCACAAGAAAAGTATTTGGTCAAAATCCTTTATCTAATAATTTAATAATTTGTGTGAGGAATGTATGAGAAAACTATCCCAGCTTTCACGAATTGGGGGGATTATCTCATATCCACCAACATAAAATATGATACCCTCACAACAAAGGATGTAAAGTACAATGTAAAAAATTTACATAGTTTGGAATCAAAAGATCACATACAAGAATCATAAAGACGACGAAAGAACCATTGCTGCAAATCCATTGTGAAAAGAAAATCAAGAATGTTGAGAAGATGAAGGTTTCGTTGTGACTTGCAAATTTTACTTTAACTTAAGGATACTTACTCCACACGTATTTCAGGATCGACTTGAGTGACCTGGGAATTTTGAGGAAAGCGATCTAGTTGGAGATTATTGTAGAAATCTACCAGAGCCCAGATGATTGGTTCATGGATACTAAGCCTCCAACTCTTATCAATTACCTGTAAATTATCACATGGATTAGAAATACTATGTGAGATAATAGTTCTTACTTGAGTTCAATTATGAATTTGAGATATTTCTGGGGACATTACTCGTATATAAATATATGGGTAGATCTGAAGACCATCAAGGGTTTCATTACGTATGGTTATAGTCATCTTAAACACTGGATGATGCACATCAGGTGTCTGTTCCGGTGCCAGAAGGACCGGCATAACTGTCAGAGGTAGCTGATTGTCTAGCTGCAGGTAACCAAGGACAAGCTTGAACCTGACAAGGAAAAGAAAAAAACACACAATCAATCAAGATTGTCATGTCAGCACTTCAGTTATCTGGAAAGTTGCTGCTTAAATCTTCGTATAGATAATGTCACTCTCCTACTGATTGTGGTAAAACAACTGTTACTATGGACGGGACGAGTGACAGATTGCTTAAGAAATTAGGTATTTATAACTTATGCTGTAAACTCGGGATAAAGCAATCTGAAAAGCCACAATCTAACGACCCGAAGCTGTGAATCTCTGCGTTTGTCTTAATTTGATAATCAAACCTATTATGTAATATGTTGTGAGTAATTTTCTTTTATCTTGATAGAAGTTATGTTTGTCCCACATCGATTAGTTACTGGGCTGTTATTGTGTAAAGTGTGGTCTGGGCACCCTCTTCCTCGGAGCTAGCTTTGGAGATGAGTTCTAACCAAACCCATTTATCATATCTAAATGGGATAATCTCGTTCAACAATAGGTCACATATTATAAGTTCTCGTCTATACATAGACACACCCATGCATAATTCCAAAGAATCTGTGTTAGTGGCTAACTGCATTTGTTGGTCAAGTGATCGAACCGCTCAACTTTTTTTTTTTTTTTTTT